TTGTCCCTCCACCCTCCCTTCACGACACTGTGCCAACTGCTTCTAGAGGTGTCCAGTCTTTCCAAGCCCTTCCTTAATCACTCCCAATCTCTTCTGAAATTCTAGAATTTTCTTTGTTTACGCTGGTCTTAAGATTGTGACTGACTATTTAAGGAAGCTGAAGGTGGGGACAATTGCAGCATTAGATTCATTCTTTGTCTCTTGTCGTCTGTCTAATCCCTACCCTCAACCCCCAAGTTTCCCTTTTGTTCTCAGCCTTGGCAGCCATCAGCTGATATTTTGCTGACTTCCAATTTGGGTCAGAAGCTGCGCCAATAAAAAGGATAACCCATAAAATACAGGCCTTCCATGCCAGGCACCCACCCAGGATATCAGTGCTGGAATGAAACTTGGAGGTTGGCTGACCCGAGCCTTGTCCAGGTGAAAGTGAGACTCAGAGAGGGGAGGGAAGTGTCTAATGTCACAGAGCTGAGTGAGGACGGAATCCAGGCCTCCTGATGAATGACTGCTCTTTTCCAAATTACCAAACCAGTTCAGAATGTGCAAGTGCCTGCAGCATGGGATGGACAGTGAGCCCTGTTTCTGCCTCTCATGTAGCCCCTTGACTCCCTGGGGTTGCTTCTTTCTTGGCCCCCAGCTGGGGTCTCAGCCCACTGGGCCTGGACAGCAGGACCATGCTCTTGTCCTGAGTAGGGTGCCCCATTTGGACTGACCGACCTTTGGGTAACTCACAGTGTGCTGATTCCTTTTCTTCCCACTTTCTCCCCTAACCTGCTTTATCTACTTCTGTCCATTCCAACCAGGATCCCCGAGGGAACACAGAGCAATGAGAGCCCGAAGAAAAGGCCGGTACAGCCTGTGGAAGACCTCCCTGGCTAGCATGTGAGTAGCCACTGTGTGTGTTCCTGCCCCATCGATCTCCCTCCCCATCAGCCATATACTGAGCATCTACTGAACGAATGTTGAAGCACTAGGCTACAGGCACCAGATGAGCATGGAAAATACCCTTCTGAATAAGCACCATCCCTTACCTAAAGGAGTTCTCAGAATGGCGAGGGAGAGACCCAATTATAGAGCAGCGTGAGTGATATTATTAAGGGAGTACAGGAGAAGGACAGGGTGTTCATGGAAGGATTCCTGGAGGAAGCGATATCTAGGCTGAGACTCGGAGGATGAGTAAGCCTTATCAAGGGGGTGGGAAGAGGAAGAACACTCAGGCTGAGGGCATTGCTTGTGCAAAGGCCAGAAGGGTCCTGTCTCCTTGTGTGGACCTGGTGGTGCCCCTAACCCTTGGGCAGGGAGGCTGAGACACTCCAGGCTTTCCAGATTTCGCTCCTTCACCCTGCTGGGGCTCTACATCTTGAAGTGCCTCTGCTTTTGTCATGGCTGTTTCTGAACTTTGCCCTAAGTGCAGGGTGGGGATGTGACCTGCCCCAGGTGGCACACTGCTGGGGAGAGGGGTGGAGCTCATGTCACAAGGCCCGAGGGGTGGGCTCTGCAGAAGCTCTAGAGTTCCAGGAGAGGGGTGCAATGTAAGAATAGTTAGTAGCCTGCAAAGTTGAAGGGCTAGAGCTGCCCATGAAGCAAAGGGAATGTGCACATTGGAGGAGGAGCCGAGAGAAGGGGGCCGGCACTGGGGAGAGGCCTTCGGAGCCAAAGGAAGCCCGTGTGTGCTTTCCTGAGAATGAGGATGGAGGTTTCACTCCCCAGACTAAGCCTCCTGGCTCACAGGCAGGCATCTACCGGGCTTCAGAAAACAGCAGCTGCCTGACAGCCTGGAGGAGGGTGTTGTGGGAATGGGTGGAGGGGGTGCCTTTGGGGACAGCTTCAAGGGGTTTTTGTCACTGGGGAGGAGGAATCCCAAGAGGACTTTGGTGAAGGGAGAGGTGCTGGGGGTGGGGTGCAGGACTCTGAAGTGGAACCTGCCTCAGTGCGGCAGGAACCCTTTGGGCTGTGGCCAGGCCATGTGGCTTGGCACTGCCTGGACCACCAGCGGAAGGGTGGCAGCCAGACGCGTAGGGCAATAAACGGCTAGTTCTGAAACACTCCTCGGAACCACACCTGGTTTCCAGCTGCAGCAAACGGACAGAGAGGGCCACTGCGTGCGTGCGTGCGTGCGTGTGTGTGTGTGTGTGTGTGTGTGTGTGTGTGTGTGTAACAGAAGAAAGGAGGAAAAACTTCCTACTCAGGCCTGCCTTGAGAAGTAACCTGAATCAAGGAAAATCATCGCTCCTGGGGTGGGGGGAGTGGGAGGGGTAAGGTGTGGGAGATGGAGGAGGCTGCTGGTGCTAGGAGAGCTGCTGCTGCTGAGTGCTAAGAGCTGGGGATGGGGTTGGGGTGTGGAGTAGCCCCTGACAAGCCTGTGCTTGCTGGTGGGCGAATCCAGCCTTAGAAAGGGCCCATTTTGCAGGATCTGGCACTGGAGGCTGGGCAAAGATGAGGCAAACATGGTAGCAGATCCTCGGCCAGAGCCTTAAGGCTGTCTTGAGTCGCAGGGCGGTGGAGTTGAGGGCCTGGGGTAGTCCTGACCAAGGCTGGCTTGGGAGAAGGCTTGGCATTGGCCACAGGTGGGGCACAGGCTGAGAGCTGGAGCATGGTGGTGGTCTGCTCCTCCTGTGGGGAATCTTTTATTGACCCATGTGGGGAAAAAGCTGGGAGCTGGTGCCTGGAGATCCAGGCAACTGAGCCGGGAGTGAGGAGTCACTGGGGGTCCTTGAGGGCTGGCCTGATGGGGAGGTCTGCGGAGAGACTCCCTTCACCTCCTGGAGTGGGACCTGGGGAATCTTTTATTGACCCATGTGGGGAAAAAGCTGGGAGCTGGTGCCTGGAGATCCAGGTAACTGAGCCGGGAGTGAGGAGTCACTGGGGGTCATTGAGGGCTGGCCTGATGGGGAGGTCTGCGGAGAGATTCCCTTCACCTCCTGGAGTGGGACATGAATGGGGGGCATGACGGGGATAAAGGGCTGAGGAGGATGGGGGAGCACTGGTTTCTGAGGAGTGGTGACTTGGAGGAACTACATGACAGGAGACAACGTATTGGGGCTCTGACTGGGGATGCCTGACAGTGAGATGATCGGGAAGGAGTTAGTCTAAAGAAAAGCTGCAAGAGGGAACTGTTACAGAAAGCAGGGCTGCGAGTTGAGGCCATCTCCCCAGCAAGCACTCGGCTCTGCCTGAGAATGTGCAATTCATTCCATACCTGCATTGGTCCACCATTCCCCTCAGCCCAACCCTACACCTTGGAAACCCCACACTCCAGCCTGGCTGAGGTTTCCTGGCTGAGCTGACTTTTTCTCCCTTGTTGATTTCTTCTCCAGCTCTGGGTAGATTCAGAGGTAGGTGAGGGAAGCATCTTCCAACAATCAAGCACTTACTGTACACGAACCAGGCTGGAACGCATGTTTATCACGAACACCTTGATGGGAAACTTCCAATTGTACACATTGATAGATGAGAGGTTGATAGATGCTTCAGAGAATAAAAAGTTCCTTTTTTATTTGGCAGTAAATTTCTCTTCCTAATCATATTTTGCACAAACTAATATTAAAGTGGATTTGCACTCTCAGAGCACAAGTTGGATGTGTGAGGGAGGGGGTTAGGTGGGAGGCATTTCAGTCTGGGCTTTAAAAATTGTCCTGAGTAATCAGCAAGATGGATACAACCAGACTGAGCTGACTTTTGTAATCACTAGCAGTCAAGATCATTATAATAAAACCAGCCTTGAATATGGAAAGTTCCTTCTGAGGGCCGCTCGTATTACAGATGACATCCCTTAGCATCTTTGCAGAGGGGTAAATTGAGGGAGAGAACCCAAAGGGGCCTTAGGTACCTTTTCTTCCTGGCATTTCTTTCAGAGGTCAAAAGATACTAGTGAGCTCCAGGTGGCAACAGGATGGAAGTGGGATGGGGGAGGGGGCAGCTGAAGAAGGCCTAGGTGGGAGACACGTAAGGAGGTACAGGTACCCACCCGTTAAGCGCCATGGCACTCAGAGCACAGGCTGCAGGGGTGATGGAGGGAGGAAGGTTCTCAAATGCCAGGAGAACTGCCAAGGTGGCAGAGGGTGGAAACGGTGTTCTCCCCCAGTGGCAAGTGGCGGAGGCCTGAGTTCAAGGGAAAAACAAGGAAAAAACCCCGTGTTCTCCTCTAACTCGCTCCCTCTCAGGCGCACTAGGATGCCTCTCATTTATCCTTCTCAGCCTCCTGGAGGAGAGAGAAACACCGTGGGAGGACCGGGAGGTTTTGCCCCCGGAGAGGCAGAGAGACCGGAGCCGGCACCCGGTGGCGAGCCGAGCCCCGCCCCGCGGCTTCCCTCCGGGAGGGGTTGAGCAGGGGGGCGGGCCGGGGAGGAGCCGCGGGGCGGGGCCTCCTGAGCGCCCAATCCCCTTCTTTCCCCGCCCCCTCTCCGCCCCCCGCCCTCTTTCCACCAACCGTGCGCTGCGGTGGGCGGTGCTTGTCACGGCAGCTGTCCCGGGTGCGATTTTTTTCTCCCTTTTTTCCTTCCTTTTTTCTTTTTTTTTTTTGATGACCAGTAAGAGGATCTTAACCTTTGACGTGATGTTGTCAGCACCACACTCTCCCAAGTGAGCCACAGGCCGCCCCCGCCCCCTTTTCTTTCTTTCTTTATTTTAGCTCCCATTGATGAGTGAGGACATGTGGTATTTCTCTTTCTGTGCTTGGCTTATATAACTTAACAAATTTTCTCTAAATTCATCCATGTTGCTGCAAATGGCAGAATTTCATTCTTTCTTATGGGGATAATAGAATAATTTAGTCAGGCTCCCTCGACATTTCTTGTAAACAAGTTGTGTGTGAGTGGAGTTAGTGCGCATGTGCACCAATGTATATTTTTAGTTTTGTTGCTATTGTGTGTTCTTGAGTTTGTGAAGCAGAAGCTGGCTCACAGAGCTTGCATCTAAAAGTAGAGTATGTTTACTCTGCTGGCAGTTGCTCAGTTTTTCTTTGGACTTTGCTGGTAGCAGTTGAGATGCTGATCCGGAAGAGGCGACGGCTGCAGTGCAGCGCGCGCGGTCGCTCCCGGGCCGCCGTCCGGCCTGGGCTGCTCGGTCCGAGTTTCTGATCTCCCGCGAGCCGGCCCCGGAGCTGGAGCCCCAGCGGCAGCGCGGCGCCGCCCGCAGCGACCTCACTTGTACGCGCGGAAGGATCCCAGACATTTCACTAAGATGAGCGTGCTTAGCGGGAAGAGATGCGTTCCGTTCACTAGAAATTACCCCGTCACATGTAGTGGTGTAAGTAGATGGCTCGTTTCTATGATGGCCGGGTTGCAAGCAGCCTCTGCCAGCGCGCCGCGCCCTCCCCGGCCCTGTCTGCGCCCCCCATGACTTCCCCCTGGCTCGCGCTCTTCCCTGGGCTATTGCTTCGGCTGCTGGGTTCTGAGGGGCGCGGGACTAACCTTTTCCGGGTTTTTCTAGGGGAACGAAGATGACTTGATTGCCTTGGCGTGGCATGCCCCTCCCCCTTCTCTATTTCTCTATTTTTAATTATTATTGTGTGCGTGTGCAGAGCAGCGTGTCAGAAAATAAGGTACGGAGTGGTGGAACTGTTTCTGTTTAAAACAAACAAACAAAAAACCCCAGTGGAATATGGATGTTTTGCTCGCTGTTCTGGAGGTGTTTCTTTGAAGTCAACTCCACTGCAGTCTGTGCAACTGAGTTCTGGCAAACTGCTGGGGGAAATCCTTAGAGTTGTTTGTTGATGTTTCTACATTTTAGGTTTGAGAAGACTTATCCTGTGTTTAGGCATGCATTTTTTGTGAATATGACCATTCCAGATCCCTTTGGGCCTTGCTTTCCATTGGATCTGTGCGGGATTCATCTTTCCGCCTTACCGGGCATAACAATGTCAGCAACCTAGTCCAAGCCACCTTTAATTCGAAGTCCACCCTCTCTTTGTTCTCTCGATTCTCCCTTCCTATCCATACTTTTTGATTTTTATTTTCATTTTCAGGGTTGTCCTCCCTTTAGCATTTTGTAAGATGCAAGATGTGGGATATTGGTTGCTAGGAGACAAGGCAGGCTCCCAGGGAGATTCTGTTGTTTCCTTGACAACCAGACTAGGGCAGCCACAGATGAACAAGCCTCCTATCAGCTGTGGGAGGGAAAGGGGGCCTTTTCTGAGCTCTGCAAAGAGCGTGTGTAGGGGTGTGGGGGTGGGAATGGGAGCCCCTGAGGTTTGTAGCTAATCTGAGCACACCTTGGCTTTTGGCCTAGACTGAATACAAAGAGCTGGGGGAGCAATGGACAGGAGGCTGTTTTTGGAGAGGGGGACAGGGATCGTGGGACAATGGTCGGGGAGCACATATTAGTTACTTTGGGATTATTGCAGGAGAGGAATGAGTTGAGGGCTCTGATACCCAGGCCGGGAGACAAGCCATAGGTTCGTCGGGGGTTTGGAAGGAATGGGGATGAGGCAATTGTGAGAAAAAGTCTAGAGTCATTGAAGGAGAGAGTGCCAGAGGGAAAGGGGTTGAGAAGCTCACTGAGTGGGTTGTATCATCACACATCAGCAATGAGACAGTAAAATAGCAATATTCTAGAGCCAAAATTGTATCACTGTTGGCATGCTATCTCCAGGACAGGAACCTCATTTAAGGCAGGCCTGATTAGACTAAGAGTTCTGCTGGCTTAATTGGGCCAGTCTGTATCTTAAAGAGAGATATAATTACACATATAGATATGCAATCTAGCATTATATAATACCACATTACATAAGATGACAAATGCTTCCTTTCAGCCCTGGCTCTCTTGGCATGAATTAACCAAGATTCAGGAGACTTTCTTCCAGTGCTCTCATACCCATTTTCCAGAGGGGGAGACTGATACCCAGAAAAGTGAAGTGATTTCCTAGATAGGAATTTTGCCAGTCAGGCTGTTGAGACAGGGGTGGAATGGATGAGAATGATAAAAATAGGGAGGCAGTTAAAGGACAAGCAGGAGAAGGTGAAGGGACAGCTGGGGAACGGGTGGGAAGGGGGTGTTCAGCTTGGGTAGCAATCTACCAGTCTGGGTCTAATCTCATGGCACTGTATTTGCTGCTCTCTTACTTGTTGGTTGTCCCCTGCTTAACCCTAAAGGTGACATAACATAAGGTGTGCATGAGTGTTTTAATCATAAAGTAGCTGAACTTGGACCAGCACTGTCCTGCTGGTGTCCTAGCATTGTCCTATCTGGGTGCTCCTAGATTTAAGAACTGATGGCCCTCCTGATTCTCCCCTTCTGCCTGCAGACCTACATGCCGCTAGTTTCTAAACTTGAGAAAGAACTTCTGTTGGCTGGTGGGTTTTTTTTAATCTCTGTCCTACCCTACAGCTGCACATGTTTTGTATTTGGGATTTTATCTGTTTTTGTTAATCACTCCATGAAACAGAAACCACAACCCAGATGACTCCTCCCAGCCCATCACGGCCCTCAGCTAGAGACCAGGAACTGTCATAGGGGGGTTAGCGGTCCTCAGCTCCGGGGAGAGGGAGAGGCAGGAGGAAGCTGGTGGTTAGAATAACGGTTGCCTGCTGGGAGAGGGCCAGGAGAGAGAAAAAAATGATCCCGTCAGTTGCCCTGGAGACTGGGAGGGAGCTGCGTGGAGACCCTTTGTTGTTTAAGGGTCCAGATCCTGTAAAATTCCAAGAAAGAGGAGGAGGAGTTTGTCTCATTGAAAAGTCCTTGGTGCACTTTTTGCTTAGGTTGCTCAGATGTGTCCACTTGCACAAATCCCAGTTGCCATCGTTACTTGGATATTTCGGTTCTGCATTCCTGCATGCTGGCATCCAGTTACAGCCCAGCAGTCAGCAGTGGAGCTTCTCCATGGCTGCTGGTGGCCTGGCCCTTGGGCTGGATGGTCAGCAGCCAGGGTGCTGGGCAGCTTCCAGGACTCCTCCGAGCACGGCCTTTCTTGGCCTAGGAAGGATTACTCTGGCTTGCTGTAGCCCCTAGACGACTTTTCATGTGCACAGGGAGTGTGAGCTGGGGCAGGCTGATGACTGTGGAGAAACCAAGCTTCCTAGTAATGCCTGCCCTGCCCTACTCCCTGTCCGCTCCCCTCAACCCTCCCAGGAGGTGATGCCAACTGGGAGACTGCCAGTGAAAGCCCCCTTGAGCCCAGAGCATCCTGGTGACAGCTTTGTGAACACCGACATGACATGTTGACTACAGAGGGCCTTCCATTTGTCCATTTGAACCATTCCTCTCTGTAAGTGGACAAGCTACTTCCCCTCTGCCCAACATCAAAGGTAACTGAGACAAGCATTTGCCCAGAAATTCAGGTGCAAGCTTCTGACCCTCCGTTTCCTTCAGCAACCCCACTACCCACACAGCCAATTGAGCGGGCATCTCCCAGGAGTGCCAGCTGTTTGGGGTCTCCCAACCCCAAGAATCCTCCTCCCTAGGAATGAGACGTGCAGAAGAGGGTACGGTCTCACTCTCTCAGAGGCTGGATGCGGGATGCTGGGAGGACAGCCGGGCAGGGGATGGGAAGGCCCATTACCCCTTCCCCATCTCAAAGCTGAGCGAGACCTGTGGGCAACGTGACAGGCCCAGAGTAGAAGAGGGGAGGCCACAGTTGGTCAGGTTCATTCAGAAGTCTCCCAGCCCAGAGAGGCTGGGAGGAAAAACTTGCATCTCTGTAAAGGGGGCTGGGGGCCAGTATTGGAGGACAGACTCGGGGAGGCTGGGGCTTGCAAATCCACCCCTGGAGAGGGTGAGGGGGAAAATGGGAGGCCAGGAGAGCTGCCGCCTTGCTCTGACAAGTCCATTAAATTTTAAAGTGGTCCTGCCCTCAGGCCTGCTGGGAAGGGGTGGGGACCTGGCCCCAACTCTGCTTCTCTCAGCTGTTTGTTGTTCTGCCACAGCCCTGCTGGGGAAGGAGGAGGAGAGCAGATGAGGAGCGAGCTTCCCAGGCAGACTGTCCTCTCTCTTGAGAGTAGGGACAGGACAAGCCCTGGGGAGTCTCCGCTTTGGGAGCTCCCACTGCCTTCTCCAGCCAGAAGCCTAGTTGGAGAGTGGTGGGGACAGGAGGGAGACAAGGGGTCCCCACTGGAGGAGCTGCTGCTCTCAGCCTGAGTGCTGAGCTATTGCCCAGAAAGTTGCCCACTCCATCCTTCTCCCGTGTACCCCCATATGCTGGCAGAGGGGGCAGCCCCGGCAGGGGGAGCTGGGATGCCGAGCCGTCCTGACCTCATCCCTCCTCTCCCTCAGGTCCCAATTAATGGATTCTGACATGGATTATGAAAGGCCAAACGTAGAGACCATCAAATGCGTTGTGGTGGGGGACAACGCTGTGGGCAAGACCAGGCTCATCTGTGCCCGTGCCTGCAATGCCACCCTCACCCAGTACCAGCTGCTTGCCACCCACGTGCCCACAGTGTGGGCCATCGACCAGTACCGCGTGTGCCAGGAGGTAATGCTGCAAGGCCACTCAGCTGGGGCTCCTTCCCAGGCCCTAGCATGTTGTCTCCAGATCTTACGGGAACCTCCTAGGGGTGAGGTGGGGCGGATGAGCGGGAGGGCACCCCTGGAGAAGGGTCTGAGAAGAGCCCACCTCAAGGGAGACATCTTTGACCATGTGTGTTTTGAATGGCTGATGTGGTGTCTGGGACCCTAGGTTTGTCTGGGGTGTTGCATCCTGTGCAGTCAGCCCTAAGTAATGGGGAGCCCTGGGGGGTTGAGAGGGGGACAGAAGCTGGCAGCTAAGATCAAAAGATGAGAGGCTCATAAACACTAGGTTTGTCTGGGGTGTTGCATCCTGTGCAGTCAGCCCTAAGTAATGGGGAGCCCTGGGGGTTTGAGAGGGGGACAGAAGCTGGCAGCTAAGATCAAAAGATGAGAGGCTCATAAACATACTATCTGCAGGTAAAGCTGGGCAGAGGGCAGACTCCTGAAGACATCCCTTCCGCACCTACAACATCCTAGCTGGCTTGGAGGCTGCCCTTGTTATTCATTCTACAGAGATTTCACATGGGCAAAAGTGTCATGCTGCCTGGGACCCTCAGGGGTGAGCTGGCACCCACCCTGAGCTGGCATGCAGGGAACCCCAAGCACTATTGCTCTTGATTGCCATCCCCAGGTGCTGGAACGCTCCCGAGACGTTGTAGATGATGTCAGCGTCTCCCTGCGCCTCTGGGACACTTTTGGAGACCATCACAAAGACCGTCGCTTTGCTTATGGGAGGTAGGAAAGGCCTCTGGCTGCCTGCAGGGAATCAAATGGTTGGGTTTGTCCTGCTTTCCCAAGGAACCAAGCAACTCTAAGAAATTTAACCTGGGAGGGAAGAGTGGAGAAAACAGCACTGGCAGCCTCTCGTGGGGGCAGGGGACAGCCTAGGGTGGGAAAGGAGCCTGGGCTTGGGGTCAGGAGGCCTGTTTTGAGTCCCAGCTCTGTCACATACCGGCTCTGAGATGGTTTTTTTCAGCTGTGAGATGGTAGAAAGGCTAATTTCTAACTCACAAGATGGCTGTGAGGCAAAAATGAGTCTTTGAGTTCTAAAATGTTATATAAATTAGAGAAGCTATTATTATGTTTTGTGTAAGATCGTGTGAGCAGATGCATAAGCCGGGTGTGGACTGTAGCGGGGGTAGTGGTGTGCACACTCTCCCTCCTTCCAGGGGCAGGCAACCTGCCGCCGGCTCTCTCTGTCCACAACTGCACTCTCCCACCCCCAGGTCCGATGTGGTAGTTCTGTGCTTCTCCATTGCCAACCCCAATTCCCTCCACCATGTCAAGACCATGTGGTACCCAGAGATCAAGCACTTCTGTCCCCGAGCACCTGTCATCTTGGTGGGCTGCCAGCTGGACCTGCGCTACGCCGACCTGGAGGCTGTCAACAGAGCCAGGCGCCCCTTGGCTAGGTAGGGGGTGCTGGTGAGAAGGGAGGCGCCCCGAGGAAATCCCACTGAGCCCTCTATCTCTCCCTCCATTTGGAGCAAGCTCACATTGGGAACTTCATCATTCATTCATTCATGTATCTATTGCATACCTACTGTGTGGGCATTACTAGGCTAAGTACTGTGAGGGAAGATAGAGAGGACGAGGTGCTATTTGCATGAAAGGGTCTTATAATTTTGCTGGAGACAAAGTCAATATGTGCACATGTTAATATCAATGTGAGCACCCCATGCTAATTGCCAGAGGGGTTGCTAGTGCTATCACTGCTTTGAACCAGGGAGGTCACTGGAACCTGGCATAGATAGAGAAGACTTCCTGGAAGAGTAGGGGATTGGAGGTGGACCTTGAAGGGCCTTTATAGGATTTGGCCAGACAGAGGGGAAAGAGCAGGGCAGGAGTGGGGCCAAGGATGCAGCTCCTGAGCAAAGCCCCTCCAGTCTGGGGGAGAATGGGCAGGCTCCCTCTATGACCAATACAAGTTTGGTTTCCCATCTTGGACCCACCAGGCCTATCAAGCCCAATGAGATCCTTCCCCCAGAGAAGGGTCGGGAGGTGGCCAAGGAGCTGGGCATCCCCTACTATGAGACCAGCGTGGTGGCCCAGTTCGGGATCAAGGATGTCTTTGACAATGCCATCCGGGCTGCGCTCATCTCCCGCCGCCACCTGCAGTTCTGGAAGTCCCACCTCCGCAATGTGCAGCGGCCTCTGCTGCAGGCGCCCTTCCTGCCTCCCAAGCCCCCACCCCCCATCATTGTGGTGCCTGACCCCCCCTCCAGCAGTGAGGAGTGCCCCGCCCACCTCCTGGAGGACCCGCTCTGCGCGGACGTCATCCTGGTGCTGCAGGAGCGGGTGCGCATCTTTGCCCACAAGATCTACCTCTCCACTTCCTCCTCTAAGTTCTACGACCTGTTCCTCATGGACCTGAGTGAGGGGGAGCTGGGGGGCCCCTCGGGGTCAGGGGGCCCCCGCCCAGAGGACCACCGGGGCCACCCTGATCAACACCACCACCACCACCACCACCATGGGCGGGACTTCCTGCTTCGGGCAGCCAGCTTTGACGTGTGCGAGAGTGTGGACGAGGCCGGGGGCTCTGGTCCTGCTGGCCTCCGGGCCTCTACCAGCGACGGGATCCTACGGGGTAACGGAACAGGGTACCTGGCAGGCAGGGGTCGTGTGCTCTCTTCCTGGAGCCGAGCTTTTGTGAGCATCCAGGAAGAAATGGCAGAAGATCCTCTGACCTACAAATCCCGGCTAATGGTGGTGGTCAAGATGGACAATTCCATCCAGCCGGGGCCCTTCCGGGCTGTTCTCAAGTACCTGTACACGGGGGAGCTGGACGAGAACGAGCGGGACCTCATGCACATTGCCCACATTGCTGAGCTGCTAGAGGTCTTTGATCTGCGCATGATGGTGGCCAACATCCTTAACAACGAGGCCTTCATGAACCAGGAGATCACCAAGGCCTTCCATGTCCGCCGGACCAACCGGGTTAAGGAGTGCTTGGCCAAAGGCACCTTCTCAGGTATGGAACATGCTTAGAAGGCAGGGAGGTTCTGTCCAAGGAGCTGTCTGAGGAGTCTGGGTTGGTCCTATTACCACTCCAAGTTGATTTCAGCTCCTGATGTCCTGGAGATCAGCTGACCTGCTCCTGAGCCTGCTCTTCCAGGCTGAGAGCTTGGCTGTTTAGTGCTCCACATCTGATGGCTTCAGAAGGAAGCTGGTGGTCTGGGCTCAGTGACTACCCTTGGGGTTGGGTGTCCCCCCTTCTTTCACTATATCCTCATGTGATGCCTCTTTTCCTCCCGGACAGATGTGACCTTCATCCTGGATGATGGCACCATCAGCGCACATAAGCCCCTATTGATTTCCAGCTGTGACTGGATGGCTGCCATGTTTGGGGGGCCGTTTGTGGAGAGTTCCACCAGGGAGGTGAGGCTGTGGATGGGAATGTGGGGGAGGAGAGACATTTACACCCTTCGCCTCTGAGGCCCCCATCACTTAATGGTACTTTCTTTAGCACTGACCATGTACTAACCACCAGGGATAGGCCCAGGAGAAGTTTATAATGGTTCCAATAGACACAGATTTTACCATATACCAGGACAGGGAATTACAGTAACATTTTAACTTGATCGTTTAGAAAGCACTTTCAATACATTGTCTGATTTAATTCATTTAGTGTAGCATTGCCCTGTTTTACATAGGAGAGGGAGGCCCTGAGAGATTAAGTGATTTGTACCAAGTTGTGTACATAGAGAGCAGAGGTTAGGACTTGAACTCAGGACTTCTCCTTCCTTGGCTCTTTACTTTGTACCTTGCTGCCTCTGACACACATGAAACTACTAGAAAAAATTCAGTGTGTCCCAAGCTGAATCCATCACTGTTTTTAGAGGTAGGTTTTATTATTATCAAGGTATGGTGAGGCCAACAGATCAGGAGATGACTGCTGCTGAAAAGGTAGTTTGTTACTCACAGGTCCCAAGAAGAGGGACACCATGGGGGGCCACATGGCAAGGCACCAGGGTCAGTCGGGAGGCAGAGGGGTTCTGTAGGAAGGAGTGGGTGAGGCAGGGTAAGCAGGCTTAGGATTGGCTAGTGAATAATTTCAGTGGGCTCTGGGGTATAAGGGCTACCCCTAGTTGTCTGGTACTAGGCTCTGGGGTGATTAGGGCAGAGGAAGAGTGGCCTGGAGTGTGAGAGCCCCTTAGAGGAGGGGGTGTGGACTCTGGACTGATTGGTGTAAATGTGAAAGGCTCAGTTGCAGACAACCCCTTTACTATGTCTAGGAATTAGCTAGCCCTGGGAGGGCCAGTCCCCCTAGGGCCCACCAGCCTCTAGATGTCAAAGCATCAAAATACAGAAAATAGAAGGGTATGCTTGATATAATCACCCTTCCCTCTAATCAGTGGCCCTGCCACTCACCTGACACTCTCTCACTGACACTACCACTTTCTCAGGCACCTAGACTGGAAACTCAAGAGTTGGAAGGGGCCTATCGATGTGTCCATAGGAATGTTCTCTTGTTTGTTCTCTTTCTGTCCTCCCAGCCAAGCAGAGCAGCACAAGCTGTAGCCCTTGGTGTTCATTATCTTCTCTGAACTGCTGGAACATTCATTGCTCCTCAGTCAGCTTTGTACTTAACAAGGAGCTACTTTGTGCAGATGCTTGAAGTTCTGAGCGTCCACACGCAGTTTTCCTAATCGATCTTTTTAGTGCAGGGACTGGGTCTTTTACTTCTGCTGAGAACCTCCTTCAGTGCTGGTCTCTTAGTAAGTGCACACTAAATACTTGACTGAAAAACTGAGCTGAGAACCACGCAGCGTCCCATCTGTGATATGGATATCATAAGACTTCCAGGAAGGTGGTACTAATAGAAGGCTCAGAGGAAGGGTTGGGCTTTGCGTTGGTCTCTGAATCAGAAGCAGAATTTGGATACAGAAACAACCACGCAGCGTCCCATCTGTGATATGGATATCATAAGACTTCCAGGAAGGTGGTACTAATGGAAGGCTCAGAGGAAGGGTTGGGCTTTGCGTTGGTCTCTAAATCAGAAGCAGAATTTGGATACAGAAAGTGTGAGGCTGAGAACTCTCGGGAGCCCGGGGGCCTGCCAGCCCTAGACACTTCTCAGCACCACGGATGCCAGCTTTAGAGCCCTAGCCAATTCTCAGTGTGGCCTGGAGAGACTTCCCAGTGTGGCCTATGAGAAGGCAGTTTTTGTGGCAGCGCTGCTCTGAGGAGAGCCCGGAGGCCCAAAGCAGCAGCTTTCGGTAGCCTGAGAGATGCCAGCTGGTGTTGCTTTGCTAATCCTATGTCCACCTGTACTGCTCCCTGCAGGCACAGGTGGGGCCGGATGTGGGCTTATGTGACCGCAAGGACACCTTCAAGCATCTTCCAAGCCAGAGCCGTTTTGGAAGGATGCCAGTGAGAATAAAGGTCCCTTTAAAAGATTTTAGAACCCTATATGCAGGTGCTGTTAGCAAACGGGCTCAGTGCAGGTTGTCACTCGGGTCTTCCAAGCAGGTATAGGTGCAGCACGGGGAAGGCTGCCTGCCTGGGGGAGGCCAGCCATGTGGGACAGGCCTTTTCCATTCCTCAGGACTGAGTTACTCTGCCCCAAGCTGGACCTCATCGCGGCCCACTCTGCTCCTTCCCGCCCCTAGGTGGTGTTTCCATACACAAGCAAGAGCTGCATGAGGGCTGTGCTGGAATACCTCTACACTGGCATGTTCACCTCCAGCCCCGACCTGGATGACATGAAGCTCATCATCCTGGCCAACCGCCTCTGCCTGCCACACCTGGTTGCCCTGACAGGTGACTACCCAGGGTGTTCAGGGTCCTCCCTGGGGGAGAGTGGCGGGGAGCCCGAGGAGTGATTATGTTTTATTCTTCTCTTACCTCCCTCCTGCTGGGGCAGGCTGTAGCACCCAGGGAACAAGCTTGCATGAAATGAAATGTGTCAATGCGTGCAGAGTTTTGGATGAGGACACAGATGTGAAGAAGTGTGTGTGAGAGATGTTTAATCATGTCACCTTAGAGGCTCTCCAAAGGTCGGCCCAACAAAGTGGTCTCCAGTAGATGACAGACAGTGCTTTATGCTCTTAGCGCGGCTTCACTCGGGCAGGCTTGAGAAGTCAGAGGATAGAGCACAATCCGTGTTTCCACTCCATGGTTCTCTTCCTCCACCTCTTCCTCCTTCCTTTTCTTTCTCTTCTCCATCTTTTTCTTTTTCTGTTCATCCTCTACCTTGGACTTCATCTTCTCTTTTTCCTTCCAAAACAGAAAACAAACATTAGCCTGCTACTCCTAATTCCCAGGTGGGACGGATGGCTTCTGTTCATGTCATCGGCGTTGGTGTTGGCATTGGTATCAGTGATGGCGTTAATGTCCAGGTTAATGCCTTTGTCAGCTTTTGTGTTGCTATAGCGGAATACCCTAGACTGGGTAACATACAAAAAGAAGAGGTTTATTTGGCTCACGATTCTGGAGTGGCTGCATCTGGCATGGGCCTCAGGCTGCTTTCACTCGTGGTGGAAAGTGGAAGAGGAGCCAGTGTGTGCATAGAGATCACCTGGCGAAAGATAAGCAAGAGAGAGGGAGGGAGGTGCTGGGCTCTTTTTAACAACCCACTCTCCAGGGAGCTAATAGAGCTGAAACTCACTCACCCCTGAGGGAGAGCATTAATCTATTCATGAGGAATGTGCCCCTAGGACCCAAACACCTTCCACTAGGCCCTACCTCCCTGCGCTGCCACACTGGTGATCAGATTTCAACATGAGTTTTGTTGGTGTCAATCACATCCA